GAGGGCAGTGTCACTGGCCCTCATATGTGGGATCCGAACCAGGGCCCTCTGGCATCCCAAGCGAGTTCTTAACCATCGCGCCACTCGGCCGGCCCTGTACAGTTATTTCTTAATTTAGCAATTTTACATAGACTTTTTTGCATTCTAACTCTTATAAATGAGTGTTTAGTACATGTGGAACATACTGCTATTTTTATTTTCCCAGTGGAAACCTTTAATCACTTTAAGATAAGTTACAAGAAAAAACAACATATGATAAGGAGTGAGAGTTCAGGCTTAGAAGTCAGTCTGACCGGGTTCCAACCGCTAACCTACTACTTACCACTTGTGTGATCGTGGTAAATTGACCTAACCTTTCTGTGCTTATGATGTCTTCATAAATGTGGAGAAATTAGAGTTTCCTTCAGCTGTAAAATCTGTACTAATCTCTCACTAGACCTGTGGCAAGTATTAGTGTTTTGAATTTTTAAATGTTTCATTTGCTGTCTTTTCTTAACTTTTGTATTCTTCAACTATGGGATATTCTCTTATAATGTTTCCTTGTCATTCCTTCTCACGTATTTTTCTTTTTAGATCTCCTGTCAGTTGGATGTTGAGGCCCTGAGTTATTCTAAATGTTATGTTTTTGTTGATCATTTTATACTCTGTTTTTAATTTTTTTTCTCTATCTTATCCTCCCACTTTTTAATTACATTTTGTTATTTCATTGATGTGGAGTCTTCATAAATGCCTGCGAGGATACAAATTCATTTCTTTCAAGTTCCTCATTTACCCTGAATCATCTCTTGTTTTCCTATTTGGACATTTCTCTACTTCACAGTTTCTTTTTACATATCACAATTCCCTCAAATACCTACTCACTGGGGGGATTAGCAAGGTTGACGGTGAACTTGGTGTACACCAGCAGACATTGTTGATTATTGGGTTCCATTTCAGGATGAGTAGGAATGGAGCTCAGATGTGGCATGAGCGCCCACACTAGGAACAGCTAACTCAATTTGTTTAGAGAGAAACAATCCTTCCCATGACCTCCAGGTGAAGAAGTAGAGGGTTTCTGTGAGCGCGTATCTATCTCCCTCTTGCCCACCATCAAATCTAGAGTTCTTGAGTATTGAGCCCTTCCAAGATTCTGCAAGAAAAATCGCTCTTGACAATTGCCTACACTGTGTGTGTTCTTCCCGGCATCTTCCTCTGTCTACCTCACTTCATCAGCCTCCAGTCCTCCTCCTGCTTTCTACAATCCACATATCACAGCATAGCGTATCCTCTGAAGACCGTCTCCACACTCTCTTCATTGTTGGAAGTCTATACCAGTTTTTATTCCTTTGTCGTCATGTCATGAGTTCTCAAAAGGTAAAGAAAATAAATGTGTGTTTCAAGAAACCAAAACCAAAAATGACAATTCTAAAAGTTGCCAGAGAGAAAGTGTAGATCCTCTGAAAAAGAACAAAAAAATCTTAATGTCAACAATGGATGTTGGCCAAGGGAATAATTTCCTCAGTGTTGAAAGACAAGAACCTTTAACCTAGAACTTTAATACCAATTAAACGATCGTTAAAATTTGGGGCAAATTAATGCTATCTCAGGCATATGGAAACCTCTTTTAATATTCTCTTGAAAGAAGTACTCCAGTAAGAAGAGAAACACAAGAAAACACTGAGGCTTATGTTACTTAAAAATAAATAAACACTACATAAATTTCAACTTCTTTCTAAAAAAGAAGCAAAAAATGGAAGTTAAGATATGGAGTAGAGAAGTAGAATTAAAAATTGTGGAGTGTTATACTACATAGTTAAGTGGGGGAATCCATACTGAGACACATTATAATGAATTTATAAAGTGCCAAAACTGGCAAATATAAACTAAAACTTGCATAGATAAATAACCATTATAGAAATTAAAATGTCAATCACTTTATTTGGTAAATGAGTATAACCTTGATTCCAAAACTGGACAAGAAAAACACAAAAAAGGATTATAGTGCCTACATTATATGTCTGACAGATACATACACAAGAAACTCTTGCAAATCAACTTGGAAAAGATTGGAAACCCAAAGGAAAAGCGAGCAAAGCATGTAATACACAATTTAGAGAATAGATACCAAGTATGAGATGAGGTATGTATTTCCAGGAAGACCTAGAAATCAGAGAAATACAAATATTAAAACAGTGATTTACTACCTTATACACATCCAATATATAATTATTTGAAAGCTGGGTAATATCAATATCAAGTGATGGAGAAGATTCAGGGGAATAGAATTGTCCGTGCATTTCTGGAGCACAATTAAATTGTCACAGCCATTCTGGAAAGCAACCAGGGAGTATTTAGTGAAAAGTAAGTGTTGATGTAACTTATACCAGCAATTCCCTCTGCTGGATCTATGCCTAGAGAGAAGCTCTCACAGAAGTCCATAAAAGCACAAACACAGAGTACTTGTCCTATCATTAGAGACTGTCATTTATGAGTCAGTGATTGGCAGCTGTGGGAGTGGGGTCAGGGGGAGTAGAAAATGAGGAAGGGCACAGAAGGGAAATGGGCGTGAAGAGCAGGGATGAAAGCAAGCGGAAAATAAATAACCAAAATAAAAACAGAATGCAACCTCGCACAGCCTGTTAGTGAACTGAGGAATGTGTTTAACTCAGTTTTCTGCATCTGTGGTTCTACAAAACAAAAATCACCACGTACAAGCAATTATTCACCACCTGGTATCCTATTGTAGGTCAAGTGCTCACGGTAGAAAAATAAATGAGCAGCTGCTGCCAGACTGCTTCACTTGCTTGGATCAAAGAAGCGAGCTATGGAGTGCATGTGACCTTCCCTTTCCTTGACCTTCCAACAGTTTCCCGCCCCTCATCTCTCCATTCACCTGGCCTATTGGGGAAAAAAAAAGAAGGCCTTACCCTCTGTAAACAAACTCCTCCCTGGCTCTCAGTAATCTCCAGGCTTAGTGTTTCCACCCAAATCTCATTTCCTTCAACAGAACCCTTCTGGAGTGAGTTCCTCAACCCCCAAGTAACCCTGATCACTTCATCTGGAGTCACATCAAAGCAGTGTTGACATTTGTCCCCTGCACTCACCCGAGTGTCAATGCAGCCACGGGTTGCATCTTCTCAAGGGTCTCAGACTTGTGCAGGAGAAGGGCTAAGGAACCAGATGGAGGCACGATCTCATGTTTTCTGGGGAAAAAATAAGTTATTTTTGCAACAATGACTTCTGCACCCTTCTAGATAATCAAACTGAACACCTGTAAAAAGAAGCCCCACATCTCACAGATGAGGATCACAATGGACTTGTTGAAGTGACACAGAAATACACAGAAGGCAGCACAAAGGCGAACTTTATGGATTTGGTGGAGTTAGAAGAGACAGATTTTTTTCATGGGAACATTGCTGGCCCTCCACATACGCTAGCACCAGATTTCTCTTTAGAACGAAATCCTCCGTTTTTCTATTTCCCCTAGATTCCTAGTGCATGGTCTTGCCTCACCTGGCTCAGACACACATTGAACTGTCCTTCCCACCTCTGTCAACCCGCCTGACATGGGACCCCCAATCTTGGATTTCTCCAGATCTCACTAGACCACAACATGATCCTAAATCCTATCCAGCTTGCTTGCTCTCAGCTACCAAATAGCTGGGCAGTCAGCAGTACCCATTAAGCTTACCCTGTGGGCAAAGCAGCATACTGAGGCCTTATCAAAAAAAATAAATAAACAAACCACCAAACCTATAGAAATAGATGTTATAGGGCTGCCCTTAAAGAGCATGAACTCATGTCTATGGGTCACCCATTAAGTGTAAGCCATTATCTTCAGCACTTTTATATAGTACATTTCTTTATTAATCTTCACAATGACCTCAGTGGTTAAAGCCCCATTTTCTGTTTACCAAATGAGTAAACTGAACATCTCAGAGGTAGAGGAATGTGCCTCAAGTAACAGCTGATAAGTGACAAATCCAGGACTCCTGACCCCAAGCCCAGGCACCTTTCACAACATCATCATTGCAATGAAAAGAATCCATCCTACTTGGAAATACAGAGTTCTGCACCCTGAAATGGACTCAAAGTATCTTCAAAATAGCACGTCAACAAGAACAAATACATGATAAAATAAACTCTGAGCTTGTGTGTTCTGGTCTCTTCTGTAGAAAGGACGGGTTCAACAGTGAAAGATTCCTAAAGGGAGGAAGCTTTGAAATCTAGATGAAAGAACAGAGGGCTAAAGGTTGTCAGGAAAGAGAAAATAAAGTTGGAATAAGCATCTTCCCTTAAGGTTACTCAGACATTCCTACTGTCGTGGAATGAATTTTCCACTCCATCTCCCAGAGTAAGCAATATTATGATGAAACGTGGCAGGGTGGGTTCAGGTTAAATGGCACAAAAAATATTTCTGGTGATGAGGTGGTTAAATACCAAACTATTTCATTAAAGGAAGTGGTGAAATGTAGATATTTTTTTTCCCCCTCGGATGGTTTTTGGCTTACTCCTCTTGGAGACGGGAGCTGGAATACATGAGCTCTGGAAATTTTATCCGAAAAAGTCAATTCTGCAGCTGTAAGATAACTTTATTATGCTCACATAAAAAGGGTTCAGGGTAACCCATATAATAACAAACTATTATTACTCAAACCCAGACCGTCCCAGAGAGCTACTGCAAAGGCTTTTCTCACCTTTCCTCCGTGGTTCCCATACTCCAACAAGCATGAACCAGAAAGGGCCTGAGTCACCAGGTCACGTGACTGAAAGTGCACACTGGGCCTCTTCACGCTTGGCACAGTCACATGAAACCAAAATCACCCGTGCCTGCAAGCTGAAGAACACTAGGCAGTTACAGGTTTGTGTCAGGAAACATCCTGGGGTTGCCTTCTTGCCACTCGAGCCTTAGAGAAAAGTCATGCCTGGAAATGATTCATTCCAAGGCAAAATTGCCGGACTGTAAGACCACTTGCTGGCCACATAAGTTACTGCTGTTCACATTTGGGGTCTGCTGGATGTTGCAGGTCAAGGGTTGCTGAGGGGAGATTGCAATACACACCCTGTTTTAGCTTCCCTTCACTGATTTCCACAGAAGAGGATGTTTGTAATAGCTCCCTCCTCACTCTCCGGCTGCTGTTCCAGTATGTATCAGTCAGTCAGTCAGTCCGTCAGTCAGTTGACTAGATAGTGAGTTGGTTAATTGGGTTAATTAGTTAGTTAGTTAGTTAGTTAGTTAGTTAGTTAGTTAGTTAGTTAGTTTGTTTGTTTTGCAAATAGTTTTGCGAAAACCTACCTCCAAGAAAATGATGTTGTTCACAGACCCATCACTGATTTCACTGCCCCTGCTGGAAATCAGAAAAGGCCTTGAGCAGGAAGTCTGCATGAAGAATCATTTCTCTTCTTACTCTAATGATTTCCATTTTCCTAAGACTCATGGACTCAGACACTAAGTTTAGTCAGACCTTAGGAATCATGTGGCACAACCTTGTCATTTTCCAGGAAAGGAAGCCTAAGCCCAGAGAGATGAAGCAACTTACCCAAGGTCACACAGCTGATCAGTGCCCTGCACCCAGGAGGGGACCAGCACATATCCACAGTGGTGGAGGAAATGGGCCATTTCACTCTTGTGTTTCAAGTAATGGGGTTTGCCTAAGATGGATAAGTATAGTTTTAGACCTTTCTCCCTCCTGTCCTTGTCCCAATCACCATCACCAAACATGTGTGAATTGCTTGCTCTACTGTTTCTAAGAACTCACTACGTCTTTTATATCCATGAAAAGATTTAAAATTTATGAGGCTAAAACAGGGAGTGCATTGCAATCAGTTCCCTCCAGCAGAACTGGGAATGGCTTCCTGACCTACAGCAGGAGGTGACTATCTTCTGCAAGCTCAGGCTGGGTGGCAAATACAGGGATTTTGTCATCCAAGTTTGTCATCTACCTTTTTTGCCCCCATTTTTCCCTTCCAATTCCCAGAACCCACCTCTTTACCACCAAAATGGATTAGTAGAGTGTCAACAATGTGGGTGCTTGAAAGAGCCAGGGTTTTCAAGTCAAAAGGCCTAGATACACATTAGTTGCAAGGCCTCACTCAAGCCATTAAGGATTGGCATCTTTGAATTGGGTACACTAATGCCATGGTGCCATGAGAATGAAATGAGATCATACACTCTGGGAAAGCCTCTTTGGAATTGTTGAGAGGATATGTAAAGGATTTTCATAATTGCCTCCAAGCAATATGCCTGACTATGCAGTATGGTTCACAGCCTAAAGGAAGGGTGTCAGTAACTGGGCTGGGCCAGAGGCAGGGCTAGAGAATGAAAAATGTGGTCTCCTCCACCTGTGTGCACAGGAAAGATTCTCTTCGCACAGTCCTCAGCGGAGGCACAGCTGGGGCACATCGTGGCTGGGGCCAGCTATAAGCACCCTCCCAGAATGCACTGCGGCTGATGCTCCAGGTCAGACCCTGATGCTGCCTTTTCTTCTCTTTTTTGTTTTTGGTTCTCACGGCTTCTGAAGCATTTTAAAGAGGCTGTGTCACTACTGACCGGGCAGACAGGCAGCTTGCTCTAGGGCAACAGCTCGTTTTTTTTCTCGGGCTAAGCTTGTGCAAGTGGAAAATATTGGGAATGTGGACACCTATGACCTATTACTCTACATCCTTCAAGCGTTCAATTTCTCCCTCCCACTTCAATATCTCCAGCAGTCTTAACTGGAAATGATAATCTTCTCTCTGAATGAGATTGATGACTAACCTTCCTCCTCCATCTTAAGACTTTGTTTCTTCCGGGAAGAGCATCTTCTTTCGCTGAAGTTCACCACGCCGCTTATTTCATCATTTCTTGCTGAATCCTCATCCCTCCATAAACATGGCGGCCTCCATCCAGCAGCACCTTCCAGTTCTCCTCTCCACAAACCTATTCTCCTCTGCCTATGAGCACATTCAGACTTTCAATAACTTGAAAAATGTTCCTTGACATTTCTCCCACTACTTACGATACTACTTATATTTTCTTGCCATTGCCATCATTCTTAAATCAGTGATTTATACAAGCAGTTTCTTTTCTGTCCCTGAAAACAGTATTTTGCCCCCACCTCATGCTCTATAGAAAGTTTACTCCCAAAAGTCACCAAGAAATTGCCTCAAGGTGAATGACTAATTTTTGGTCTTCATTCTTCCTCTGCAATATTAGTGTTCCACTCAGTGGAGTTCACTCCACTAATGTTTGAAAACATTGAGAAAAAGGGAAAATTGGCTTTTTGTTAATTGGCAAATGTTCCAGGGAGGCTCTGTTTTTGTTGGGATGTGTTATGTTGTACGTACGGATATGGACCAGAGTCTCTGTGGAGTTTATAAAGTTCAGAAAAGATGGCTGATAAAATTTTGATTTTCATTAATTTATCTCAATAAAAGTTCACTGGAACTCCAAAAATTATTTATTTATTTATTTATTTATTTATTTATTTATTTATTTATTTATCAAATCATCATCTTTCTGGCATCTGCGTTTCTGTTAGCAATACAGTTTCTCTCTTAATTAATGTTTTGGGCTAAACTTAAAACCATCCCTAATTCTACCCTCTCTCATCCCCATATTTAGTCAATCACCAAGTCCAATCTGTTCTTTCTAAAAACTTTTTTAATCACCTTTCCTTCTTACTCATTTTATCCCTACTGACATCACCCTCATTAGTTCAGGTAAGTCATTTTTTTATTCATTCATTTAACAAATGTGTATTGAGTGCCTATTCTGTGTCAGGCTTTGTGTTAGAATCTAGGTAAGCAAAAACAGACACAGATTGTCCCTGCTCCAGCAATGGAATTTATGGTTGTGGAAGAGGTAGTTGTTGCTCAAGAAAATACTAATGTAAAACTACAAATCGAAATGAGTATTCTGAAAGAAAAAAACACAATTACAGGTTGAGACATGAAATAGGAGTAGAAGTTGACTAGAAAAACGGATGTGCCATACAGATGAAAGGAAGAAAATTACTTACTGATGGAATAATTTTTTCAAAGGCTATTTGGTCAGAAGGAACAGAGTAAATTCAAGAAACTGAGGGAAGTCATTGAGTCTGGAGCTGAGAGGGCAAACGGCAAAATGAGGCTAGAAAGGAAGAAAGGGAAAGACCATGTCAGTCCTGGTCAACCAGGCTAAGGTATTTGGCTGAACTCTATCCTAAGATTGAGGAGGAGCAAATAAAGAGTTTGCCATTATTCACTTCAGCTGCAGTAGTTACCTCCTGCCTGAGATTCTGGCTTTCCCTACTCCAATCTGTGCTGCATGTTATCACAAGAGTTTTCATAAGAGAGCCCTCCAACTTTTCTAGATTCACTTTTCAAGACCAGCTTACACAACTTGTACATCACAACCAACTGGTCTACCCTTCGATAGCTTGGCTATTTTGTGCTTTCCTGACTATGCTTTGTTCACCTCCTCCATCTCTGCTTCAATTACTGTCTACCGCTCCTCTCTACCTCATGTTTACCCACCACTGAACAGGTTATTTGAATCCATTATTTTCTGGAAACCATAAATACCCTGACCACCCTATTTTAAAATGACTTTCCATGCTCTCAGCAACCACAAGACACTTGCCACTTACATATCACAACAGCCTGGGCTTCAGAACTAGAAAGTCTTGGTTTAGATCCTGGTTTTGAGCAAATCACTAAATTCTCAAAGCCTCAGATATCTAATCTACAAAATGGATAAAATCTTTGTACTTATAAGTTTATTGGGAGAATTAAATTAAAATACATTTCTAAAGTATCTAAAAGAGAAATTGGCACATAGAAAACATGAATACTTACTATTCACCTTCCCTCCCTTCATCTTCTCTTACTTTCCTAAGGAAATAGTACGCTTTTTGAAGAAAGAGACTGTTACTTATCTTTGCATTTCTACACTTAGCATAGCACCTGACATGTAATAGGTATCCAATCAATAATGTTGAATGGTTGAAAATTGGTTAATCAAGTGGAATTCAATGTCAGAACATTTTTTCATTAATAAACCACATTAACAGATTTAAGGGAAGAAAAATATGATCATTAAACAGAAACAAAATAATCAGCAAAATTTTAATTTGCTTATAAAATCTTAACAAAGGATAAAATATAATGTTCCAATTCTAAAAAGTGTGTTCACCAAAATCCTATAGTTAATCCATTTGATGGTAAAATCTTAAAAACAATTACATTAAAGTCAGGAATAAGACAAGGATGCTGGTATCAGCAATTCTATTCAGTACTAATCACTGAAATAAGACAAAGATTAGAAATAAGAAGTATACAAAGTAAAAAGGAATTTACAAAACTTCCCTTACTGGCAGAGGATAGGATTATCTATAGAAAAATCTATGTAGAAAAATAATATCAATAAAATTAATAAAAGCATTCAGCAATATCATTAGAAACAAAAGCAACATGTAAAAATCAATAGAGTATATATATATGCAATGAAATATTATTCAGCACTAAAAAAGAATGAAGTGCTGACACATGCTACAACATAGATAAACCTTGAAACATTATGCTAAATGAAAGAAGAGTGTCACAAAAATACCACACATTATATGGTTTCATTCACGTGGAAGTCCAGAACAAAGAAATCTATAGTGACAGAAAGTTGATTAGTGGTTGCTTGGGATTGGAGGAGGGGGGAGGGATGGGATAGTAGGGGAATAACTAAAAGATACTGGGTTTCTTCTTGAGGTAATGAAAATGAAT